ATCAACACAGCATTGGAAATCAGGGAACCGATATAGTTTCATGATGAAAAAAGTCTGCGAGATGAAGCATCCAAATTCTTGAATGTGATGTGACAGCTTGTGGTTATTCTTTCTCTCCCCAAATCCAAGTTTACAGACAGCATGTTATGGTGTTTGTAACATAAGCAAATCCTGAGAGGACCAAATTCCTCTGCTGGGGCTGGCTGCTAAGCCAGTGTTTGCACTGACACCACCTCATTTCTCTAACAGCGCAGGCAGGCTCTTGAACTGCATTGCCTGCTCCTCATTGCCTAGCACCCTGTTGTTACCCCACTCACCACCCTGAGTGCACTAGAAGTACACTCTTAGCACAGGACTGCAATCCTTTGCTTTAAACATGTCATGCCCTGTGGCTATATGCCAGCATTTAAACTGCAGGGTGCTAAATGGACTCATAATTCCAAGAGGACATACAGAAGTTAAAAAACTAGCTATTTGTACTAATCTGGACAGAAAGGCGGAGCAGGTGGGATAGTGACAACAGTATGCAGAGAACCCACATGAACACTGAGCTCACATTAACACACTGTGCGTTAGACAGGGTCACACACTTCCATTAATTATTACACACATATGTACCTGCTAAGCTATGCCAACATTTCAACAGAGTTCAGTGTCAATGCAAACATCCCCTCAATGCATACATAACTTTTATCATAGCACAGTTTTGTTTTCTGGCAACTGCGCTAGAAAAACTATTTTTGCATATTTACTTCCAAAATCCTAGATTATAATTTGACTGTGATTATCACTTTTGCTGTGTGATAAGCACATAAATGCATTGTCTTTTGCAAATCATGGGTGTTGCTATGTGGACTTGGGGGGGGGGGGGGGGCTTCATATAACAAAAGCTAATGCCGGAATACATAGGGTTAAAGTACTTTTAGCCTAACTTAGGTTGAAGATAAAGAACAATGTTTGTGTTGTAAATCTGTGAAATTTAGTGGCCCCACTAAACATGAATGAATGATTTCACACCATCCTTCTCAGTTAGTTTAGAGACAGTGCCTCCCAAACATCTGCTAGCTTGGGATACTCCTTGTCTGCCCATCCTGCAATAAATTTTGCAGGAAGGTCACACTGTTCTAAATCTTTGCCAGCTATCAGAAGAATTACAGATATGGCTGGTTTCAGCTAGTTTTGTGATAACTGGGGCATCCAAAGGTGAAAAGTACATCGCGAGGAAGACTGCTTACTTCATCCTGAAGACCCCTGCCCACAGTCACCAGAGAGCAGTGTGCAGATGCCAAGAGGAGACTTACAATAATAAGTTCCTGGAGCTAGTTATAATATTCCCTGCCTATACATGGGAATTATGAATATGTATATGACTAATGCAATAGTGAAAGTATATAAACCTGTAACAAATGCTAGTCAGTGCACTTCTGGCTACGGTCACGGGCCCAGCACTGTTGCTTTTGCTTTATTGACTTTGTCCCTCAATAAAACCCTGTTATCACTATTAGAGGAGTGAGCTCGTATTTCACAGCTGTAATGTAAATACTTTAGATGTACATACTCCCATCTCCTGGACAGAACATATATTGCACATACCTGTTGATGCTGATGTGTTCTATGGCTGGCTATGGAACTTCTTGTTATCCTGTAATGACCTCCAGAAAGGTAATGGTTTATTGTTCCACTCAGTAAAAAAAATCCTCTGCAAATGAGGCATCTCTGGGGCTCTTGAAGGGGCACAGGAAAATTAAGTGATAGATGGTATAGGGAAGAACATTCTCCCTAGGCAGTGGAAAAGAAGGTGGGCATTATAATTTTGTTTGTTTGTGTGCTTTATGGAGTCTGAGTATGAAGAAAATTGTATCTTCCCATTTCTTGTGGAAGAGGAAGGAAGAAGACATGGCCAGATGTCCCACAGGAGCTGCTAAATGAGAATACCTGGTTGCAACCCACTGAGATATTGCAACTGGGGCTGCAGTTCAGAGTTTAGAATCATAGAATCATAGAATAGTTAGGGTTGGAAAGGACCTTAAGATCATCAAGTTCCAACCCCCCTGCCATGGAAAGGGACACCTCACACTAAACCACGATACCCAAGACTCTGTCCAACCTGGCCCTGAACACTGCCAGGGATGGAGCATTCACAACTTCCTTGGGCAACCCATTCCAGTGCCTCACCACTCTTACAGTAAAGAACTTCTTCCTTATATCCAATCTAAACTTCCCCTGTTTAAGTTTTAACCCATTACCCCTTGTCCTATCACTACAGTCCCTAATGAAGAGTCCCTCCCCAGCATCCCTATAGGCCCCCTTCAGATACCGGAAGGCTGCTATGAGGTCTCCACACAACCTTCTCTTCTCCAGGCTGAACAGCCCCAACTTTCTCAGCCTATCTTCCTACGGGAGGTGCTCCAGTCCCCTGACCATCCTTGTGGCCCTCCTCTGGACTTGTTCCAACAGTTCCATGTCCTTTTTATGTGGAAGACACCAGAACTGCACACAATACTCCAGGTGAGGTCTCACAAGAGCAGAGCAGAGGGGCAGGATCATCTCCTTCGACCTCCTGGTCACGCTCCTTTTGATGCAGCCCAGCACACGGCTGGCTTTCTGGGCTGCAAGCGCACACTGAAGCCGGCTCATGTTCATTTTCTCATCAACCAACACCCCCAAGTCCTTCTCTGCAGGGCTGCTCTGAATCTCTTCTCTGCCCAACCTGTAGCTGTGCCTGGGATTGCCCCGACCCAGGTGTAGGACCTTGCACTTGTCATGGTTAAACTTATAAGGTTGGCATCAGCCCATCTCACAAGCGTGTCAGGGTCCCTCTGGATGGCATTCCTTCCCTCCAGCATATCAACTGAACCACACAGCTTGGTGTCATCGGCGAACTTGCTGAGGGCGCACTCAATCCCACTGTCCATGTCAGTGACAAAGACGCTGAACAAGACCGGTCCCAACACTGATCCCTGAGGGACACCACTCGTTACTGGTCTCCAATTGGACACTGAGCCATTGACCACAACTCTTTGTGTGTGGCCATCCAGCCAGTTCTTTATCCATTGTGTGGTCCACCTATCAAATTGATGTCTCTCCAATTTAGAGACAAGGATGTCATGTGGGACAGTGTCGAACACTTTGCACAAGTCCAGGTAGATGACATCAACTGCTCTACCCCTGTCCATCACTTCCGTAGCCCCATCATAGAAGGCCACCAAATTGATCAGGCAGGATTTCCCCTTAGTGAAGCCATGCTGGCTGTCATCAAGCACCTTGTTGTTTTTCATGTGCCTTAGCATGCCTTCCAGGAGAATCTGCTCCAAGATTTTGGCAGGCACAGAGGTGAGACTGACTGGTCTGTAATTCCCCGGGTCATCCATTTTCCCCTTCTTGAAAATGGGGGTTATATTTCCCTTTTTCCAGTCATTGAGAACTTCACCTGACTGCCATGGTCTTTCAAATATGATGGACAGTGGCTTCGCAACTTCATTTGCCAGCTCCTTCAGGACCCATGGATGGATTTCATCAGGTTCCATGGACTTGTGTAGTTTCAAGCAATATATGGCAGTAGTTGGCGGTGGCCGAGTGCACCTCAGAGGCTACCATTGTAACCAGCAGCGTGATCCCTAAGGGCTTTGCCCTCGGTAGCTCACAGAGCAGAGAGAGGAGTGCCCTCTTCTGTCTCCAGGACTTTTTTGGAGGACTCTGGGTAGCTTCTTCCCCTTCTAGATCTCTGTAATATAAAGGGTATGTACCTGACTGCCTTGGAGTTGATATTAGCGGGAAAAGAGGAAGCTGAAGCCTGGAAGTGCAGCCACAGACTCCCCCAGCCAGGCCTTTCTCCTTCCAGGCTTAGAAAGGCCATGCTGCCTGGGCTCCAGGTCTTCGGTGCAGCTCTGAGCCAGCTGAGTGGTTTCCCTTTCCCTCTCTGCCCTTCCCTGCACTCCTCAGCACTGATGGATGGCAAGTTACTGCTGGGGAGATTCCAACTGGACGCAAGAGGAAATTTTTTCACAATGAGAACAATCCACCACTGGAATAATCTCCCTGGGAAGTGTTGGATTCCCCAGCACTAGACACTTTTAAGATTCAGATGGACAGGGTGCTGGGACATCTAGCCTTGAAAGGTTGGGCCAGGTGAACTTTGAGGTCCCTTCAATCTGGTGTTCTGTGATTCTGCACTCTGTCTCCTCACTACCTGGATTTAGCCCTCAGCCTGCCACTTGACCATAGCATCAAGGAAGGATATACTGTGGAAAAGGTGACTCACAACATTGGCAACAAATGCGTTGGCATTAGCCACTAACCATGGCTATCAGTATTTGTTACCTGGCTTTGTTGTATTTTGACACTACTTGTTTTGTTACAAAGATGGCAGTAGGTAGACCACCCAATGGCCACATTGTCCAGTCTGAAGCAAACAGGGTGGACAAAGTCCCATGTCAGACTGACAGCGCCCAAGCAAGCACCATGTTGTAAATGTGGTGGCTGTGCTGTGCATGCCGTCAGTGGGATCACCGGTGCATGAGTGTCTGACAGGAAAGGGAACGTGCAGGTGCGTTTTCTGATTTCTGAGTTACACCCGAGGTCTGTAGTCCCACGGAAAGACGGCAAAGATTTAGAGTTTGTTCCCCATCTTCCTTAGGCTGCAAGCTATCGAGGAACGGGGGACACTTGAAGCCAGACCACTTTAGCAGCGACTGGTGTGCTTACTACCCCAGGGAAGTTGATGTGACTCAGTCCCGGCTGGTCCTTAGCCCCGGAAGGTCGCTAGCCAGCTGCTGCAGTTGCCTTGCTCCAGGAGGCTACTCTGGTTCCGGAGGAAGCTCCTCCGTGGCCACTGCTGTAGACCGAAGTGACGGAGCAGGCAGCGCGGAGGACAGCCTGCCGCCGGCGCGGGTTGGGGTCCTTACACGCTATAAGACCGTAAAGCGGAAAACCCGCCTCCTTTTCCGCTGGTGCCTGGCGGTGGTGCGGGGTGAGTAGGGAAGATGGTGCCGGGGCCTGCAGAGCGGAATCCCCGCGGTCGCCGGGGCATCGTGGCGGGAGCGGGCCGGGCGGGGGCCTCGGGGCGGCCGGCGCCGCTCACCGCGGCGGCCTTTGTCTGTATTTCCAGCAGGAAGCCGGGCGGGAACAGCACCCACCGTGAGCACCATGGCCGAGGAAGGGTGAGCGGGGCTGGGGCCACTGGGGGGCGGCGGGCGGAGGGGCCGCGTCTCGCTTAGCTGTTTCGCGCTGCTCCATGCCGGGCCTTGCAGCTCCGGCCTACGTAGGCCCCGTCGTGGTGCTGCCGCATGCTTCATGCAGGTTGGATGCTCGGCTGGTGTGCGGGGCTTCCTTTTTTTTTTAAGGGAGCGTGGAGGAGCAGAGCTGGCTGGCTCGGTAGGAGAATTTAATCTCGGTTCCTTTCAGATTTCACCTTTTCCTCAGTTTGTTCTTCGCCTTAGTTTCTCTGCTTGTTTCGTTTCTGTATACTTTTAACTCTTGGATGCTTGGTGGTAAAGGGGAAACTTGCTTGTCGTTGTAAGATGCTGTCATGATCAGAGCAATATCTGTGTTCTCTTTAGCATTACTGCTGGAGGTGTAATGGATGTTAACACCGCCCTGCAAGAAGTGCTTAAGACTGCACTTATCCATGATGGCCTAGCTCGTGGTATTCGTGAAGCAGCCAAAGCCTTGGACAAGTAAGTCTGGCTTTCCCATTTTGCCTATGGTAAATCGCAGAACGGCACAAGGTATGTTGAAAACATCCAGGGGTCACTTTGCTCAGATGTTTAGTTGAAACTTTTTGCAAGACCCTGTTTTTCTGCCAACAAGTTTTGTCTTTATCTCTTTTTCAAGGTCTTTAACTGTGATCTTAAAATACAGATGCTAAACTTTGTGATTCAAGAATAACAGCATCTAGTGTATTTACTATCTTTTTGTGACCTCAGTGCCATCGAGTTTTCACATGGACTTGTTTTGTGAAGTAAATGGAATGGCACTTGCAGTATGTAGCTGTGAAAATCTGGGGCTCAAGGACCTTGTGTTTTAAGAATGATAAAACTCTTCTCAAAATTAAGATTCTAATTGGGAGGCTTTATATATGTCAGATTTAACCTAGAAGAGTTGGTTTAGTTTTATGAAGTAAACCTGAAATTCATAGCTTGCCCTCACTGCTTTTGCTAGCTTCAGTTTTTTGCCTTTTTTGTTTTGTGGGTTTTTTTTTTCCCACTGTAAATAATTGGTTTGGTACAATATCAAAACAATATTAAACTTGTCATATATGTGCCAACCACGGTAATCGGTTACGGCTTCTTGGTAGGATGAAGTACTCTGTATGTACATACACGTTTCTTGTATATGTTTATATATATATATGGAGAGAGGCACATACTTCTAAGACTAGATAGTGCTTAAGCGAAATGCTGCAGTGTTTGGGTGATGACTTAACAACTTGTCGGATACCCCTTCACTCATCTAATGAGTGAGACCAACAGTCTGACAAACCTGTATGCGAAAAAGCTCTAAGACAAGGTACCAAATAATGGGAGAGAAATGCTACTTAGTTGGCTGACAACTAGTTTTTAAGAGTTGTTTTGATTTCAGATAAAATTTCATATGCTGTGTGTTAAGAGGTTTATGTACAAAGTTTATATGCATACGAATGTGATGGTTTTCACTTGGAAACGTTGTTTCTGAAACAGTGTTGTAAAAGTCATGATGAAGGAGGCCATAGAGAACACTGACTTTGTTTGCAGTGGTCAAATTATATTAGGTTAAGCATGGAAGACCTATACAGCTCTCTTTGTTGTCAGGTATCCCTTTGGTATTCTTAATATTGTACCACAGTATACAAAGATCCTAATTAGAAATGAGGCCCTGTCATAACAGCTTCTTTCAATGTAAGTAGAAAAGATTGTTCTGAAGAGCTTATAACAAATTGATACGGAAATGCAAGCTTTTAATAATTGCAGTTCTAATGTTCAGTTGCTATCTGTGGTAAACAAAAAACAACTTGCAACTCAGATGCTTTTTAATAGTGACACCAATTCTGCCTGGGACTGGTGTATATCCAGTCATTACACCATTTTCTCAATGGCTGAGAATTTAATTAGCGGGGTTTTTAGAAGCTTCTGGAATAATCTGATAATACAGCTAACAATGTATGAGTAGTCTGCTATATATATGAAAAGCTTAACTTGTAGTAGATCGTCTCAAAAGTATGTTAGTATTTCAAAAGCCTGTGTAGTCTCAAACCAAAAAGTTAAACTTAGGAAGTGGTTGTCTAGAAATGCACTAGCTGAATTTTGTTCTTCACAGTTTTGATTATCAAGAACGTTAAATCCGTGTCCCAAATTGAATTGTCTTTTTTTTTTTTTCTTTTAAGACGCCAAGCCCATCTTTGTGTTCTGGCTTCAAATTGTGATGAACCCACATATGTAAAATTAGTTGAAGCGCTTTGTGCAGAACATCAGATCAACTTAATAAAGGTGAGTGTCAGAACTTCAGGCACAAGTTTAGAACAGTTACCCTGATTGCAATATAAGCTGCTTGTTTCATCATGCAGAGAGCTGAATCTTTGAGACACTGCTATAATTCTGTATAAGGCTTATCTAAGCAAAATTTCTCTTGGTAGCAAAGGTTGTTTTAGTTCTGAGTGATTGTCATAGAAGCAGTACAAAACCTGCATGTAAATGGCAAAGGATGTGTATCAGATGTTTTACAAAGTTAAAATGATTTCTTGTTTTCTGACAAATATATTAATGCTGCAAGTAGCTGTATAGATGTCTAAACATTATTCTTCAAAGCTGTACAGTGATGATACTTTGGCTCCCTCTACTGATAGTTGTGAGGAAAGCAGCCATCCGTTACCCAATACTTCTGAGTACAGCAGTTTTTGCTGAACCCAGTTATGTTGCAAGTTGCTAGTTCTAATGTGATGTAATGTTTTACGCAGGTTGATGACAACAAGAAACTGGGTGAATGGGTAGGTCTCTGCAAGATCGACAGAGAAGGAAAACCTCGCAAAGTAGTGGGCTGCAGTTGTGTGGTTGTCAAAGTAAGATGATGCTATAATTATAGCTTACTTCTTGAGTTCTGAAAATAAGCAGTAAAGATAAGGTGGCTTTAGATAATGGACTATTAGATAGATCTAGGTTTTTATTTTTTTTAAACAGTTGCTTTGCATTGTTATAATGAAGATAAACTGCTTCCCTGTTCTATATTCCCTTTCGTGTGCATTTAAAATACTTCTATTAATTTTGTAAGTTAATGCCTGTTTCCTTAAAGTGTCTATGCCTACTTGCCAGTAAGCATTAAGGGACAGATCTTTTAACTAGAAGAGATGAAGTTTTATTTCAGGAAAGAAAAAATGCCAGTTCAATGTGTCTGCTCAACTTGAAAATGTTCTGCAGAGCATATTTTAAAACGAGCTGGTAAAGTAAAGCCACAGTACGAGCCTTGAAGACTTTGTTGTCTTTGAGGTCCCAAGAGATGGCTACATCTTCACAGTAAAGACTAATCCCTTCTTTATGTGTTTTCATACTTTTGCTGCTGTTTCACATAGTTTACTTAGCTTTCTTTAAACAGAAATGAAGAATTACAGTTGAATGAAATAGAGTAGTTCTTTATTAGAGCAGTTTTTTATTAAGAGAATGAAAGGAAAACAGCTGGCAGATTGTTAGATGTTACTTATATGGAATTGTGGGAATACTTGGGATGCCTTGAGAAAAAGCATCAACCTCAATTTTCCTTTTTAAAATAGCTGACAAATTTTTGAATGAGTCAATGTGTTATTAATGAGTTGCCTTGTGTTACAGGACTATGGCAAGGAATCTCAGGCCAAGGATGTCATCGAAGAGTACTTCAAGTGCAAGAAATGAACCAGAAAATAAATTTTGAACCTGACTAGTGTGTGTGTGTGTGATTAATGGGTGGGAACCTGTGGAATAGTTCTTTAAGTTGCAACAGGTACCATCAGAAGATAAAGGGCTTTTCAGACCTTGGTATAGCTATTACTGTGCTAACCGTCAGCTTGCTAAAAAGATGATGGCGATTCCTGCCTTTCCTATGCTTGGGTGCTTCTGTTTTCTGTTCCATCACAGAGGGTACCAACTTGGGGAACTTCGCACAGCTCACCTGTGGGAATGCTGTCAATTACTGCCTTTGCTTGGGCCTGTAGTTCTGCAGGGATTCTGAATATGTTGTTATGGGAAAGCCTGAAGTACTGCTGCATCTGTGATGAAAATTTGGCTCCCTCTGCTGAAACAGATGAGGAGAATGGCCTTAACCGTTACCCAAGTCTTCTGAGATGTCGCACGAAATTTTTAAATGCTATCCTAATATATTGGGGACATTACTTGACACAAGGTGTGCGTTGTTTGGTTTCCCCTTCCCCCAGTTCTGAAGCGAATTGTCAGTGGAATAAGCTTCCAGGAAGTATTGTCACCTACTTCTAGGTATTTATTCTGTAGGAGTCTTAGTAGTCAGGTAGCCAAGTAGCTGAGATCTCATCACTGCTTGAAACAACACGTTGTTGAACTCTGGCTTGCCCAGTGTCTTTAGTTTCCACAGTAGTTGGATGATGTACAGATCTTGTCAGTTTTTTGCTTTTTGGATACAAAGTGGGATTTAGACTGGAATTTAAGGTTAGCTATTTTTTTCTCTCCCACAAGTTATGTATGTTTTCCATTTCCTATGGAGCAGCTCTTAAGTGGAGTTACAAGGAATTGCTGCGTTATGCTGATGAGTAAGACATGAATATGTGGGGCTGAGCACCTGTAGACTGAGGAGATTGGAATGTGTATTTCTTTACTTCTCAGGCTCTTGAGCTTGAATTTTCATTGTGATTTATAACTGATTTCGGTAACCCACATCATGCATGTAGTGTATAGACAGGCATGTTCTCCAGATGCTGGGCTCATATGCACTCTGTACAGCTTTCATTAAAGCTCTTTTGAAGTGTCTGTTTTGGCCTTGTCACAAATTTGTAGCTGTGTAGCTGCTAGTAGCTAGATCTGGGTGACTTGGATTTTTGAGAAGTTCCTGTAGTAACATTTTCAGATGTACTTAATGACAGTCACCTTTTCCAAGTCTGCCCAAATACAGGAAATGTAACCTTGTGGTGATACATATTCAGTTTTGTCTGAGAAGTTCTCAGTGAAGTGAGTTAAAAGTAGCTGTTAACATTTTAGTTAATGTCATGCTAGTATTGTAAATGGAGGGAAGTTAGCAAATGTACAGATGCTACCACTTTCCCTTTGGATGCTGAAATGACAAATTTGTTCCTGTAGATATAAGCCTTAGTTGGAGACCTTGTTTTGTTAGTTACTGGAGGTTTCTAAACACTAAGAAAAGGCAGTTTATAAAAATATTGCTTTAACTATATAGGCTAAGAGACTAGTAGAAAACTTTTGTCAGTTGAGTTTGGCTAATAATCTTGAGTATGACAGAAGCACACTTCAGTCTTGTCCTATTTACACTTCAATCTGTTTTCCTGTTTTAAGAACCTGCAACTTCTTAAAGTTTGGGATAAAATAATAATGCTATTTGTTCTTCAGACTTTTTTGCAGCTACATTCTAAGAGAATTGTCTGAAATGGTAGTGATATTGGCAGTATCATAGGATTTATGTTTTTGCTTTTCCTTGGCCGGCTTTTTTATCAGAGTTATTACAAAGGGAATTGGGATCCAAAACTGGAGCATGTGGGTTCCATGGCCTGTGTACTGCTGAGGTTGAAAATTGTTTCTTAATTGAACATGTTTCACTACCAGCACATTTTTTTACCTGCTAGGAATAGTAAATTTCTCTTAATTCCTTGGATCTGTGGATGCAGGGTAACAAACATGCAATTCAGTAAGCCCCTCCAGGGTAATGGGTGAAGATGTTTAGAAAATATTAAATCCATAGCCTTATATTCTCAAATTTGAGGAAGCTTTTGCTAAGCCTATGCAAGCAAGCTAAGATTTTCCAGATGTGTGACTTTTTGGCTAAAATAGAGCTTTTCATTTTATTGTTAATTTTGAACACAAAATGACTGGAGAATGGAGGAGAGCATGGTCCGGAGTTCAGATACGCTTAACTGACTACAAAAGGAGTAAGTCCTGTATAGTACTTCCTGGATGTAGGATTATGTGAAGTTAAGCTGCTTTTTTTTGTTTTTTAACTGAATTTGCCCTTCTGATGAAACAGTTTAGCTTGAGGCCAGCTCAGCATGGAAAGTTTGCTATTGTAACTTAATTTCCCACAAGTCTACTAATTTCTTAATTTACTTTTGGGGAGGGAAATAGGAAGGATATCAGTGGAAGAAGGAAGAAATATTTATGTCCAGGTTAACTCTGGTCTTTTTAAGGAAAAGGATCCATTGCTGAAAAGGATTAATAAAAATAAAGTTGATGACATGTTACTTTAATAAAATTCTGAAGTTGTTTGGCTGTTACTACTTTACCTCCATAGAGGATGTGGAAACCTGTTCACCATTTGTATTTAATACCTGATGTTCATCTTAGCACTTTCCTCAATATTTATGGAGAAAGCTGATTCAAAATACCATGCTACATTGTGATCCTACTGTCACTGGATTTCCCACCCAGCTGTAATGCTATAGAAACAGGATTTGCTTGGTTAAGAAAAAGATGTTCTCTGAGTATTCATAGCCTACAAGAATGCTGCAGAAATACTACATTTGTTTGACTAGGCTGGAATAGTACAATAGCACCAATTTCATCTTTGCATGAAAGGTAGGTGAGATGTCCATTCTTACGGATCCTGGAGCTAGTATACTGCTTTACCTGACAGGAGCAGTGAAATTCTTTGCAACAAGTTTTTTAGCTGGATTTTTTTTAAGCCATATATGGGGAACATGCATGCTAAATCTATAGTTGAATTAGACTTAGGAATTGTTAGCACATTGTGAATTTATATGTTTAGTAAGGAGCTTTACATATTTTAAACCTGCAAGCAATATGATAAGAGTCCAGCAAACTACAGTTACTCAACTTTACAGCGCGTTCTACTTTAATGTATTTTAGCTGCAGTGTGAGAAAAATAACATGATCTCCATCTATCAAATGATTGTTTCATTTCTACCATGGGATATTGGAATTGCTACTTCAGCAGTAGCTGGATTATACATTTCATCTTAAATACTATGCTATGATCAGTTAACTCTTGGGAAAAAGAATTCTAAGTAAAGAGCTGTAGTCCATGAGCAAGTTTAAGCAGTGTTTTGCAATAATTGAATGATATCTCAATGTAAATTCAGGGCTATGTTTGTGTTTTGTTTTTGTTTTGTTTAAAATGTCACTTTATTTTACATGGCAATGAATATTAATACTAGGGAATGGTATCTCTTCGTGCCAAGTTTGTTTTCACAGAAACAACTGACAGTTCTTAAGTATTTTTGCCAGAAGGAGTTGGGTAAGATACTAATTTTTTGATCAAAATGGTTAAGTATAAGGTTAGGGGTTTCCTGTAATGTTTTATTTCTTGGAAGTGACCTTAGAATCTATGCAGGGTCAGTGTTGGAGAACTTGTTAAGACTATTCCTAGTGCTTGATTTATTTTCAAAAATTTCTTGAGGGCTAAATTCCACCCAAACTTGCTGGTTAATCTTTTGGAAAAATTATTTTGGTTACTCAGATTGGCCAAGGAAGACAAGTGATTGCTAGTCCTTCTTCGTACTGGGAGACTTGGCATATGCTTCCGAGATGTCTGCTTTGTAGACAAAGTAGACCCAGTTTCTTCACATTTTCTTGATAGATGGTGTGGGTTTTTTTTGCTGTGGAAGACATTGATATTGATGTGCCCTGTAGGATTTCAAAGGAGTAGGCTTTGGAATACTCCTCAAAGTATAGCCATCTGTAGTTAGAATCATAGAATCATAGAATAGTTAGGGTTGGAAAGGACCTTAAGATCTTCTAGTTCTAAGCCTCCTGCCATGGGCAGGGATACCTCACACTAAACCATGTCACCCAAGGCTCTGTCCAACCTGACCTTGAACACTGCCAGGGATGGAGCATTCACAACCTCCCTGGGCAACCCATTCCATTCTAGTTATCACCTGAAAGCATGTGATTAGCATTAAACATGGGATTGGGAGTTTGAGTTTGACTCAATGAGGAACTGACCCTCATTTTTCCTCTCTTGCTGGTTATATTTGATGTTCCTTTCAGGTTTTCCTTGTGAAACAGGGATAATGCAGAATGGCTTGCTCAATGATATGTGCTTTGTGGGTTTTGGTTGGCAGAAGCAGCAGAAAGAGATTCTTGTTCTGGACTAAAATACCAGGTTTTAGTGGGTTTTGCATGGATTGGTAGTTCTTTCCAGGCCTATATTCTTACATTTCCATGTGAAGCAGAAAGCTAATGAAGTGTTTTGAAGAAATGCTGCTAAGTCATTGTGAAGGTGCTAAGTACAGATGCTTAGACTGTGTTGGAAGAACATCCCATGCGGGATTTCAAATAAAAATAATCTTGAGAACAGTTAAGCTCCCTTTATTTTGGAACCTGTATGTCACCCTGGCCAGTACTGCTTTTCTGCATCTTGTGAATTTTGCCTTGTATCATAAAAGCTTGAGCATCTGGACAGCACCATCACCATGCATTTGCAGAGATCCTGCTCTGATGGAGTTGTGGTTGTGGCTGTGGATCCTGTAGGGGAGCTGGTTATGCCTGACCTCCACTCTTTCCTCTGATGGTGCCCTTTACTGTTTCAATCCTTTGATGTCTGTGAGAAAGGCAGTGCTACTCAGTGCTAATTCTGGTTGAGAAGGAAGTGTGTGTGCTTGTAATGTGTAGTGGGAGCCCGAGTGTTCACTTTAAGGTAATTTCTTATCAGGACAACTCATTCATATCAGGATCTCCCACTAATATGCTGATGTGTTTTGCAGTAGCGCAAATGTCAGGGGA